TGAAATTATCATATAGTCCTACTTTCCGTGGTATCGTCCCAAGAATGCTGGAAATGTGAAAATGTGCCAAGAAAGAAGGAAACGTAGCCTAAAAATACAAGAAATTATGAACGCATAACTGTAATATATACTACTTTTTCAACAGAGCATTCAAAAACAACGGTTAAAATGTAGCGTTCACCATAAAAATAAGCTGAGGTAACTACATAATTAAAAATAAAATAAATAAAACGCGATAAAACCCGTAAAAGTAGTTTTAATCAATCTGAGGTAACCCAGTTTATTCTATAAATTTTGGCAGTACAGCTGTTAACTCTCAAAACAGACAGTTATTCCTGGATTAAGAATTCGTAAAATCTAAAACAGAGTAAACAAGTGATTCTACCACTATATATTAAAGCAGGATAAGACTTATGCAAGTTTGGTCGAATCCGCTCTTAACCGTGTAGTGTTAGTATTCAGATGTTCCTTTGCTTTACTAGAATACCAAACGAGGAACACAATTATCAGCGCATAAAAAAGGTTTACTTCAGGTACCAAACTTAATACTATACGAATTCTTAAGCAGAAAAGGAAGTAAGCTATTTTAATATTTCCTTATGTAAAAGTTGTTACCCCGTGTAGTGGCGGTGTAAGAGTTTCCACTGGCTCATGTCGTCCCGCGGGTGTCGTGAGAGGCGACAGAGGGAAACTGGAACAGGAGATGGCCAGCAACGTCTTCCTAATAACGACTAAAATACAAAACTGTGGTTGCCAACCCGCTTGCCAAGCGTGGCAAATGGAAAGTAAAACTAAATTCCCCATGAGGCAATCTACGAAGGCGGCCTATTTTCAGCAGTTGACTTTTATAGGCTGTAATGGAATGTAATATTATTATTATTATTATATCATTGACGAGACCAAACAATTTGACGAGACAAAAAATTACGTACTTTATCGCCAGCAATGTACAGGGAATAAGTTTTTGTAGCTGCATACAGCCGGATTTCTATATATTTGATGATAATATGTTTTACTAGAATGTGAAAGTGGCATCCATGGTGTTCTACCTCCGCCGCAAATCGGCAGGGTCACGGAAACGCTTTTATACACATCCGCGGCCCCTCCGGCGCCAGCCGCCCAATGGCAGCACCTCCTTAGTTGCTGACTTCTCCCCCCGTTTTCATTCTCCGATAAGGCGCATCAGAAACACAAGCCACACTGCCCTTCGCGGCCGCTAACTCCACCTGCACTACGGACTCCCCGAGCCCGATATGTGAATGGAGCCAGGGAAAAACGAGCACTTGGAAGCATCAAGTGGTGCAGCCTCACCAAAGTCACGAAAGATAGTCGAGTGGCGCATCGCCTATTGCCATACCAACACTTCTCTTCCATTACTACCCCAACTCGACTACAGCGGTACAGGGAGAGGAATCTCCTCTAGCCACAGCCCACTAACACACATCCAACGTGGCTCGATATCATCAGGCGACCTTTCGACACTTGGTTATGGCCTTTGAGTTTGGTGAAAAATGAGGAAAGAAGAAATAGAAAAAACATTCGAAATAATAATCTAATAATTTTATACTTACTCTGGTAAGGGTACTACCAGAAAATATTGTAGGTATACTGCACTTTTTCAAAGTGGTGCAGTTCTCATGTCTAATAAAACGTCTGTGAAATGTTTGGAACTAATATGATCATTTTGATTCGGACGCCAATCCGCAATATTTATGCTTTTAAGCCATAATTTTAGTCTAGGTTCAGTTGGAAACTTGTTATTTAATAAACATTTGATAATCATCTGTTGTTGGCGACTTTGTTTGTTAGCAGATATGGTTAGGAAAGAACATCGATAAGTATTATAGACAAGGAACTCGACAACCCTATTGAATTCTACTGTTTATCAAAACTCAGTAATATACAGTCAAACATGTTGCTATATACGATATTAAGATTAGTAGCAAATTTTTAAGTACTTATATTATCAAATAGTTTTAATTTGTTTAATATTTGCTGCAAATTAACTTACTTGTGGAATGTTATACCACTTCCCTTTTGGTAACGAGTTTTACAGATTACGCACACTCTTATTAATAAAAATAATTCTTATTATGTAACTAATATTATACACAATCAAACAACATAAAATAATTTCCTTTTTTAGTTTAAAAGTTCAAAATACAGACTTATTAAATAAGACAATGGGTATGTTCCGAAATACAACGCAGTGTACTTTCCAATGGAAATGACGTCATGAATCGACGCTATACTGGTGATTCGTTCCAAAACATTGGACAGTACATGACGTCATACATTTGCGCCATTTGGAAAAAGTGTTGGCGATTATTTTGTCATTTGTGCTCCAAAAATCATTATATCCTCCTAATGGATATACCAGCAATTATTCTATAATTTTTTGTATTTGAATAAATAAAAACAAATTCTGGCATACTTCATTCAGCGCACACACAATTAAAAATTGTTTTATTGTGGCCGGATATCCGACGCAATATGGCGGCAGCACGCCAGTACAATATAGTGTCAATTGATGACGTCATTTGCATTTGCCAGTGTACTGGGTTGTATTTCGGAACATACCCAATATAAATAAGACAACAGACTTTGGCATATTATGTCGTTCGCGGCCTTGCAGGCCGCGAGCCCTGAGACAAGATGAAGCTGTAAGAGTCGCATAGACTAACAGCACTAACATCAAGATAATAGAGCATATTATGTCAATTTTATTTTTCAAGACATCCTTTAGTGCGCTTCAAATTGGCACAGTCATTTTGTATGATATAGCCAGTCCAGCGTACTTGTATGTTGTATAGAGGTCAGTGATTAACGGACCAGATTAATAAAATCAAAGATAAATAGATATATAGATTAAAATATGCGTAGTATTCTCTTAGTAGTCTGTGATTACAACATCCCTGTTTCCTGTATTTATACTTTTTATCGTAGACAAAGAATGATAAAGACACCGGCAAAGTGACAAGTGAGTCGCAGAGAGACAAAAAAAAATACGTCTTACATTATAAAAAATACTTATTTTACGGAATTTTTACTGTCACGAACCTCAAGCTCGTAACAATATAGACATTAGACACCGACACCACAGAGGACACCGGCAATGCGTGTCGCAGAGAGACAAAAAAATACGTTAGGGTTACAAGTGTATGGAAAAATATATCCCACAACTAGTTATAACAATAGAAACTAGTACGTAAAGTAAGCCTAAAAAGGAACACTGCTATTAACGATTATCATCGATAGGTATTGTAGTGGATGGAGAGCTAAGTGGACTGTATTTGACTAATTATTTATTATAATTTACTTTTGTGAAAAAAGAGAAACTAAAAAATTGTGATATTTATCTGACTAATAAACTTAAAGAAACTATTGTGTAATGAATGAGAGCTAAGTGGACTGTATTTATTTAGGTTGTGTTTTAATCTTGAAGAAAGAAGATACTGAACTAACTGTTACCAGCCCTCTGTCACTCTTGCTACCTGCGTGAAATTATTACCTACAATCGCTAGGCACCCAGGGTAACATACGCAGTTACGCAGTCGGGGCTAGCTCGTTGTAGGGGATTGAATGTTCGTTTTGAATTTTTTTAACGCTGTTTACGTAAATAGTTTTTCGTAAATACTTGTTGAAATAGTTTTTATTTAACTTTTAGTATATTTAATTGTAACATAAAATAGATTAATGTAATTTAAAAATTATATATATTATGTATTTTACCTTTTTGATAAATTGTCAAAGAAAATCGTCGTTCCTACCATAATTGTTGCGTGGATGGATGCTAAATGCCCAACAAAAGGTTTCAGATTTATAAAATTACCGAAGGATTTTTGAAGGAAGTTATGAAAGGTGAATTTATTAAATTTTTTGTCAGGTACTTATAGCAAAAACCTACGTACTTTATAACAAAACATAGTTGAAAGGAGAATGCCAGCTTTACTATAGAACTTTGCCCCACCTAAAAGCGTGGTGAACACGAATGTCGTATGCAACATTTTTTTGCCGCTTTATTACTTCATCCAAATTATATAATTTGGAGTCTCTAGAACTTGCGATTTTTTTGAACTCGACTTTAATAATTACATTTACCTTACCTAGGTACCATTTACCTTAGAGAGCCAGTATAATTGATTGCAGGCAATTGTAATGCATTTCATCTTAGTCATTTGAAGCGACAAAGTATCTTAACGTAGTCCGCTTTGTTTGTGTGACTTACCGTCAGGCAGGATGTGATTTCGTTTGTCACTTCAGATTTTGCTAGTTCATTAGCCGCGTCCAGACCGGCTGAGAGCGGCTCGCGAGCCACTCTCAGACTTCCTGCTCGCGAGCCGTAGCACCCGAGCTAATTTGTGAAAAGTTCCGGCTCGCAAGCCAAGGTGAGCCGGTTTGAGCATTCAGTTTCTCTCCGTATAACGATGGAAAACCACGTATTTTTTGCTGCTACGGCGCTTATGTTTTCTGGATATATCATAAAAAAAGAAAAGGGAAACGAAAACTCTGGATTAAAAAATTGTACCAAAACCGAAACCAATACGGTAAGGGTTTGTTAAAGGAACTAACAATCGACCATTCAGTCTCAAATTTTACACACTCCTTAGTGGCTGTGAAAATACAAAGATGTGACACTAACTACAGAGAAGCAATAAATGTATCCGAAATAGTGTTGCTAACATTGAGATATTTGTCAACAGGATACTCCTATAGCAGTCTTCAATATCTTTTTAGAGTATCGAAACAATCTATATTGTTAATATTATTTTATTTTAATAAAAAAAATATATCAACTATAGTTCCAGAAACGTGTGATGCAATTATAGACACCCTCAGTAATTACGTTAAGGTAAATAAAAATCATGGTAATTAAGCAATCAAATTATTTATTTATCTGCCTCATATTTAAATAACGGAGTTGTCACCAAAATTAAAGTCTGATGTTTCTGTAGTAGTAGCAGGAGTAAATTGTGTGTTCTGCAGATTTTCACCGGAAGTTATGGATGACGTGGTAGTGGGTGGTTGTGTGTAATATCCTGGTCTATACATCTTATATTTTCCCATGTCCGCTTCGTGAATAATAGTATTAATAGCATTTTTAACACATGATTGAGTGTAAGGATCGTATTTTCCATGAAGAATGATACACATGGATCATTTATGGAAGTTGAACTTTTCTCAATTATGGCAAAAGTGTCCTTCAATATATTATCAAGAGAATCATTTTGTGCATTCGTATTCAGCCGTCTTTTCTTTCGCGATGGTTGTGGCGATGGCGATGGTTCTTGTAGCGATGGCGTGGGTTCTTGTGGGGATGGCGTGGGTTCTTGTGGGGATGGCGTGGGTTCTTGTGGGGATGGCGTGGGTTCTTGTGGGGATGGCTCGGGTTGTTGTGGCGATGGCGTCGGTTGTTGTGATGGTCCTGGTTGTTGAGGATTGCTCTGTAAAAATAATGTTTATTTTGTTATTTGCAGACACCGTCCACAGAAGAAGAATGGCTAGCACTATCAAATGAATTCGAAATAAAATGGAACTTCCCACATGTTACAGGGGCAATGGACGAGAAACACGTAACTCTTCAAAGACCCATCAATATAAGTACTGATTACGACAACTACAAGAATTTTCCTAGTATAGTGCTCCTCGCTCTCGTGGATGCTAATTACAAATTCTTGTTTGTTAATGTCGGAAGTAAAGGGCGTATTTCCGACGTGGAGTTTTTAAAAATACGATTTTATATCGAAAATTAGAAAACTGTCAACTGAACATTCCTGAAGCGCAGATACTACAAATACCGTACATAATGAAAATACCATATTTCATATTAGGCGGCAAAGCTTTTATGCTTACCAAATATACTATAAAACCATTTGAAGGTAATCCAGAGCCGGGTTCCAAAGAAAGTGTTTAATTACAGACTTAGCAGAGCTCGCAGAGTCGTTGAAAATGCCTTTTGGTATTTTAAGTTCAGTCTACAGAGTCCTTAGGAAACCTATCCTCCTAGAGCCAGAAAAAGCTACAAAAGTTGTCTTAGCAACAGTGTATTTATATAATTACTTACGAAGAAATAACTATTCTATTCCACCAGAATATTATGATAGAGAAGTTGATGGTTCATTTATTCCAGGTCAATGGAGAAACAATATTCCATCTACAGCACTATTATTTCTAACGGCCATTCCGCGCAGAGGTACTGTTAGTGCTAAAGATATTCGCCTACATTTAGCAACACATTTTGTAACAAACGGAATAATTCCATGGCAGCATCAATATTAATGTTCAACTAATTTTGAAAATAAACATAAATAAAGGACTTAAGATATCTATTCCGCCTTCTTTTGTAATTCCTGTGTCATCTTTATTTGACATAAAGTCAAAATATTTGAAACCAAACCACTTCGATATATAAATTTCGTCAGCGCCTGTAACAAATATGTAGATGTTATAGGTTATTTTTCGTTTCCTATGGTGTGTCCTATAGTAAATGTTGTACATATTGATATTTGATAATGAGATTAACTAATCTAACATTCACTATAATTAAATAAAAGAATTCTTACCTGAACCAGTGCTATTACTTTTTCTCTGCTTTGACTTTTCGCGTCGGTATGAACCTGCCAATGAGTCAAGTTTCTTTTTCAACTCGGGTATAGGTAACTTCATTTCCTTAGAGATCTTCCTCTAGCAATCTTCTCGCTTGCTTTTATTTAAATGATCGGGATCTTTCGAATCCCATAACATTTTGAAGCTTCCGTAAAGTTGTATTAAACGAATACTGTCTTCTTTATCCATTTTTGATTCACTGGCTCGCGAGTGTCGTTACGGCCAACCGAGCCAACGTGTGCCCGAGCGCCGTTCACACCGGCCGAACTATTGGCTCGAGAGCCGCGCTCAGCCGGTCTGACGCGGCTATTGCTTAACACAATATTACTTTATTGACGGGTGCTTTTAGTGCTCTACCACGTTACAGCTATGCTATATATATATTTGTTGAAGCGCCTGTCAAATTATATTAGCAGTTATAATGCCAATATTAGTTCGTAAGCCGTGTAGGTTTATATATAAATATATATATATATATATATATATATATATATATATATATATATATATATATGTATAGCCGTTATGTTTTTAAAACAAAATATAGTTGCATCTGTCATCGTTGTAAAAAATTAGAAATAAAAACGGTCGATTGAGCAAATTACTGCATTTTATTATTAAAAGGAGATCATATTCCTATTCATGGTCCTAAATCGAAGCCGGATTTGAAAAAAACGTAATTGGACAAGATATTATTTAGTGGAATACGCTTGGGAAGTCTTAAATATTCATTGTGGAAATACCACCCAGGGAGTGAAGATATTTAACCAAGAAATCTGGAGTCTTAGCCCCTTAGATATTGGACTATTATTTAATTTATTTAACCCAGCACTCATTATCAGGTAGTATTTTGTGTAAATCGACTGCTAATTTATCAGGTTAGTATCAACCAAATTACCTACAAAATAATTACGTATAACTTAAAGTATTTAATCAGCTAAAATTCATTTAATATTGTTTCATATAGTTTCTAATAATCGTCAACTCATAATTAAATTAAATTATAAAACTTAGTTGAATTATATTGACATTATAATTTTTTTCTTAATTGGGTTTAAACTATCAAAATAGTAAGGGAATTAGTTTTCATTTCTTTATAACTGTAAACAAAATTGTATAAAACTACTTATGAATTATATTTTATAAAATATAAACTTCTTGTTTGTATAATTTATCAGGCATTTGCACTAGTCTCCCAATCCCAGCCAACATGCCAGAAGATAAGGAACAAATTAAGAAACGAGCTAGCTACAAGGGACAAATAACTGCTTTTTCAAATTATATAAATTCACTCAAGGTATCTTCATTGGCTGCTACTGAGGTAAATGAGTTGCAATTACGTATTAGTAGGATTGAGTCAATGTATGAACGATATGATGAGGTACAATTATCCATCGAGTGTAATACTGATAACATAGACGCCCAGATATCAGAACGAACTGAGTTTGAATCCCTTTATTTTAAATCGCTTTCTCTTGCAAAAAAAATCTTAGCAGATTGCATTAAGTCAGATGACGCAAACAGTGACGGTGGCTCTCATTCCGGCAATCATAAATTTGTTAAACTGCCCACTATTCAACTACCTAAATTTAATGGTTCTTATGATAATTGGTTAGAGTTTCATGACACGTTCATGAGCCTCATACATTCAAGTGACGAGATAGATGACATAAATAAGTTTCACTATTTGAGAGCGTCGTTGGAAGGGCCCGCTGCTGTGGTAATACAGTCAATCGAATTCTCGGCAGCTAATTACACCGCCGCATGGACTATATTATGTGATAGATATGATAATAAAAGACTACTAATTCAAAATCATGTGACAGCCTTATTCAACATAAAAAGTAAAGTAAAGTTACAGCCTATATACGTCACACTGCTGGGCACAGGGCCTCCCCCTCATTTCTGCAAGGGTTTTAAGGCAAGAAACTGTCCGCCACGCTGCCCCAATGCGTGTTGACGAACTTCACATGTCTTCGAAATATTTTTCTCTTATTCCTCAGACATGCAGGTTTCCTCACGATGTTTTCCTTCACCGTCGAGCACGTGGTAAATCAGCACTTAAAATTGCATTTAACAATTTCATTGGTGCCGGCGGGGATCGAACCCGGGTTACTCGCATTCTGTTATATTTACAGCGAGCGTTAACCATCTGAGCTACCACGGCTCCAATATATAGCACCAATTAATAAAGAATTGTCTGTCAACTTAAAACGTCTTATTGATCAAATAAATAAAAATTTACGTGCATTAGAATCCCTCGGTGAGCCAACTAAACATTGGGACACACTTCTCATTCATATTATTACTCAAAAATTGGATGCTAAGACATATCGTGAATGGGAAGAGTCTAAAGGTCGTTTGGAGAAAGATACACCTAGGTGTTACGTTCGATATATTTTTGATGTTTTTAAAAAATCGAGCCGATTTAATCGAAACACTAGAAATGTCTCATTCTGCTGCTACTAACCGTTTAAATTCTTCTATAAAATATGCTCCAAAAGTTAAGGCAATGCTTTCAATTCGGGATACCGGTAATAAAAACGGTTCGGCTTTTTCCGCCAAACTGTGCCCTAAATGTAAGGGTGACCATAAGTTAAGCAGTTGTCCTCAGTTTCTTGGATTAAGTAACGATGCGCGTCTACAGTTACTGCCAGACTATAAAGTATGTTTCAATTGTCTTAATTCAGGACATTATGCAAATCACTGCAAAAAGCCAGGATGCAAAATATGCCACCGAAAGATAACACTCTCGTGCACGTCGCAGATTACCAGTCAAAACCAATTACAGATATTAATACATCTAACACGAGTAGTGGTAATAATAAGCCTGTTATGCAAGGTCGTTTCGAACAAACAAACACTTCGACGGGCTTACAGTCGTCATCCAATTCTAACGCACATTTGTCATTGTCCGCAAAGGTAGGCACTGCATCGTGTAGTGAACGAGGCGACGTATTTATTTAAGCATTAATTAAAGTTATAGGTAAGAATGGTTGTCCATATATTGCTCGTGCTATTCTTGATAGTGGCAGTAACGCTTGTTTAATAACTGAAGAGTTATATCAAAGGCTAGGTTTGCCCGCTCTAAATGTAAATCAGTCGGTAGTCGGTATTAATAATGCTTCGGCACACATCAAGAAGATTTGTAAGGTATCGATAAAATCATTGAATGATACTTCTCTAGTAATCTTCATTGTTTTGTCCCACCATCAATAACCGAAAATGTACCTACTAGATATGTTAATTTGTCAAACTTAAAAATTCCATCTAATATTTCTCTGGCAGATCCTAATTTTAACTCACCTGCTCCCGTTGATATGCTTATAGGTGCTGACGTCTTTTGGGACTTAATAGGAACGCAGAGATTAAAATTAGGGGACGGTCAGCCGATTCTTTGTGAAACTAGCTTAGGATGGTTAGTGATCAAAGGTTAGAATAAAAAAAAAATGCGCGGATTGAACTATTTTGTAGTAATCGCGACACTTCTTACTTGAAATTAAAGTAATTAGAAATATATTTTGGAATTGCTACTTAATTTACCTACAGTGAGAGAAAATTAGTCTGGCCCACCAGGAAGGATAAATGGAATAGGTTAGCGGCAGCGGCGATCAACTCCAACTTGGCTTCAACGATATCTTCGGATGTGGAAGGCTTCAGTCTTCCTTGACCACACTCCTACGTGATTATATAGTCTATGCACACATCTGGGTCGACCCGGCACACTCACTAACGCTATTTACGTTAATTTTTTATATTGGAAGGCTTAGACAAGAACAGCCATTACCGATGCAGTTCGTCTTGAGTCTCGATTACATCTGCCTCTCGATCGCGTCGA